CCATATCCAGGATATTTCCCCATTATACCATCACTCTCCCACTGCTATATTTTACTCCAATAACTCTAGCTCTATTAAACCACTTCCAGCAGCTTCATCCTTTTCTATTTTCTCCTTGGCCTCTGACAGCATTTCAGACTAGGATCCCTGAGTCCAGAACAGGCATAATCAATAGCGTACCAAAGTAAAACCAGTTGATTAAAAAAATGTGAAATATGGCATTATGTTCCACCAATAGCTACATTCACTGCCTTACCAATAAAAATCCATTTAGGTCTTTTAGATTAACTAGCTACAGTCTGCAAACTTTAGCTGGTGAGACAAATTCAGCCTGTCACCTAATTTTGTATACGCCTCTCCCCTAGCCAAGCTGAGAATGGTTTTTATATTTTTAAATGGTTGAAAAAATTCAAAGGAAGAATAATACTTCATGACGTGAAAATTATGTGAAGTTCACATTCAATGTCAATAAATAATAAAGTTTTATTGGAACGCAGCTACTCTCACTTATGTATTCTTTATGGCCACTTTTTTACAACAATGGCAGAGTAGTTCCCACAAAGACTGCATGGCCCTCAAAGCCTAAATTATTTACTATATGGCCCTTTACAGAAAAGGTTTGCTGATCCCTGAGCTATAGCGAAGAAAATTTAAAGCTGCTCATTAAGTGCTGAAAAGTCACAGATATTTATGTGGGATTGCTAACACCTTACACATCACTCTCAGGTGAATCTCCCTAAAACACAGCTCAAACCATGCCCCCTCCTACAAAAATCTTCTCTTAGTACTTCCTGCCTACAGAAGGAAGTCTGAAATCCTTAACAGTCAAGCCTCAACCTTCCATTCCAACCTCATTTCCCAAACCTCCCTTTCTATAGCCTATATCCCAAATGAGTTGACTTATTTGCTGTCCTTTTTCACTCTCTGTATCATTCCTACCCCAGGAAACGCCCTGTCCTGAATACAGCGTCACGCGGTAAAATAAGCAGGGCCTTTGGAGTCAAGTCTATGTTCTAATTCAGCCTCTTGCCCTATTAGTTGAGAAAGTTACTTAACTCCTCTGAACTTCGGTTTCCTCATTATTATAGAATGGGAAAATTGATTGTTATGTCATAAAACTGTTTCAAGATACAATGCCTGGCACATAGGAACAGCTAAGCAAGTGATAAGTGTTGTTAATTCTGCCCAACTCCAATGCTACTTCTTCCTTTGCTTTTCCCTAGTCCTTCGACTGAGAAATGAGTTCTCCCGCTACTGTCACATACCATCATGCCCACCTGTCCCACTCTTATGGCTCTCATCCATAACTACTACCTTATATGACACTAATGTCTACCCATATCTTGTCTTCCCCTACCCATGTCTGCCTAGGAACCTCTTGTGGGCAGTATCCATCTGTGACTCATTCTGTATGCCTGACAGCTCTGAGAACAATGGCTGGAACATAGTATGTGCACAAGTATGTATTGAATGAATGCTACGTGTTCGCTGAACTGTATATAACACTTACTGGGTGCCTCACGTTGCCTTGGGACATAAGCAGGGGCTATATCACTTGTTCTGAATAATGCCTAGCCTCAGTTCTTAGCAAATATTAAAACAACATCAGGGAGTAAAACTGCCAACATAAAAACAAAGAACAAACGGAAAAGCAGGCAATATAGTTATCTTTCACGGCGATAGTGTTTTTATTTTCCATTAGTTTATATTATAATCATCTTGCACTCTGACAATTATAAATAGATCACATTTAAGGGGAGGAGGGGAAATCAACCACTTCCCCGAGAGAAACATGTTGAATATCATTCATAACATCAATTACCTCTGAGCACAGAGCTAAGTAAATCTAAATATTCAAACAGGATCTATATTTAATGAATTAATCATCACACACAGTTGCGACTAAAGCCTTATCTAGAGCTTTGTACGAAATCAGACACAAGCAGGATAAAATGTAGAACTCAAGTTCCGCCTGGTTCAACAACCTTAAGAAAAACTGCAGCTGATTTTTGCAGGACAGTACGTCAAGTCACATTGGTTCCTAGAAACACTAGCTCCTTGATTTGACGGTCAATATAACTAGTTAAATAAAAAGGTGTCAATCGTTCTTCCTGCCTTTTAATGCCAGACTCCAAAATACGAAAATAGATCCACACACTGTGAATACAAAATGCACTGCTGACACATGCCAATGCAGGGAGTGACATTTTCCAACAAGATCACAGCCAAAAAAAAAAAAGTCTCTGCTTTCAACTACTTCTGCTTATGCATTTCCCTTCAGAAACCTACTGGAAATTACACATTCACCAACAGATATATTAGTAACCTGAAGATATATTATCAAAAACTCACATTGTTTAGTCATTTCCATTTACAAAACGCTTTCATAATCCATTAATTCCTTTGAGCCTCACAACAACCCTGAGAGGTGGGTATAATTCCCCCCATTGTACAGATAAAGTAAGTGATTTGTGTCAGATCCCTACATAGTGAAGCCAAGACCCTAAGCCCGGTCTTCTAACTCCAATGCCAGTACTCCTTTTTCTTTCTTCCTCCATACAAAGCAAGAGCATACCTTTCTTTTGCTTCCACCCTACCTACTCTCAGAAAGTCGCCCAGCTGGCAGCGTGAGGAAGCAGAGTGGGAGTATAAACATTACTGTGGTCAAGACAGTGGGAAACACCCAGCCTTTGCCTCTAGCTAGTCAGGTTTTTAGAACCCATGCCACTGAAAGGAAAGAAATGGAGCATGGGTTAGCTGCTGGGTTTTGTTTCCTACCTGTCCTATTTTTGGCTTTCTATGTACACTCAGACACAGAAAAGCACAAGTATCAAGGAGCCCCTGGCTCAGAATATCTCTTGGATCTTTTGCCCATATGCAAAGGTTTCAGCCTGCATAATTGCTGACTCTTCCCACTTTTAGACTTAGAAATAAAGGAAAGAATAAAAATCACTACCTGCCTCTTGCTTACAATTTTGCCCTTCCCCCAAATGTTTGTTTTTTGTTTTTTGTTTTTTTTTGAGGCAGAGTCTCACTGTGTTGCCCGGGCTAGAGTGCCGTGGCGTCAGCCTAGCTCACAGCAACCTCAAACTCCTGGGCTCAAGCGATCCTCCTGCCTCAGCCTCCCGAGTAGCTGGGACTACAGGCATGCGCCACCATGCCCAGCTAATTTTTTCTATATATTTTTAGTTGTCCAATTAATTTCTTTCTATTTTTACTAGAGACGGGGTCTCGCTCTTGCTCAGGCTGGTCTTGAACTCCTGAGCTCAGACAATTCGCCCGCCTCGGCCTCCCAGAGAGCTAGGATTACAGGCGTGAGCCACCGCGCCCGGCCCCCCTAAATGTTTTATTGAACTTATTTTTTCATACAAATGTTAATCTCTGTGATATGCCTTAGCTGGTCATTTTTTAGCACATACACTCTCAGCTCACCATCCACTTCACAAAGCCATTTCCTTGCTAGGGCATATGATGAGCTTGGTTTGACTGTGGATACTGCGCCAAGCAGTTTATTGTAATAAGTAAACAAAACCAACAAAAGCCCAAACATTCCCCCTTTTTCCTTTCAGTGAACCCTCACCTTTCTATTTTTGTAGCACAACCTACACATATCCTTAACCTCTCAATGAACTCTATTAAGTGGAAACACAACCCAAAGCCTGGCCTATAAAGTCTCTAAGGACCAGCATTTCAAATACCCCATCCTTAAGGTGCTACCAGTAGTTTACTCTTGGTCAGGCCACAATAGGACAAACCATCAAAAGATCAAACTCAATCAAGTGACCTGCGGGCACTTGGTCAGTTTACATATTCTGATCAAAAATGGACAGATAACATGTGCAGGGAAAGGAGACTCCAAGGGACAAATCAGAAGAGCTGCATAAGAAGCACAGGCTCGTAGCAGTGACCATCACGCTGCCCCTTCTAAGCCTTTCTCCCTGCTCTTGGTTGGCTGAATCTGCCTAAGAAAGTCCCCACACTGGCCCTACACACCGTATTTTGGAGATAAATCCACTGGAAACAAAGTTATAAGCACATAGGACATATTTGCCAGTGACTGACTTTATTTTTCACAGTCATCTTTCAGCCAAGAGAAAAAAATTAATTATCACTCCACCCAATCATTACCCTCCATTATTCTGGGTATATACTTTGGCACAAAGGGTTGGCTTGCCTGCACTCTCGTTGGAGATGTTTATTATTCTTTCTTTCACTTCAAGCCAACCAGCAGAAATAAAACCTCAACACACAGTGGGGGAGGCAGGGAGCGTCCCACAGCTGAGTCAGCTGTGACCACTGAAAAAGCCAAGCTAGGTGAAGTTTCTTCACCCCTTGGCCCCCAACCCTAGCCCTATATTTTACTCCCTGGGGGCTGGGCTCCTTGTGCCAGGGAGTAGGCAGATCTTTGTTCCACATTCAAGCAAAATTCAGTGGCATGTGAAGCCATCCACAGACTGACCTTGACCTGAACTATACCTCAGTATGTTAAAGAAAAAAATTGCTGGGGCAAAGGTGCTTTCCTTAGAAAATAACCTGTCACGGGGAATTTTTTATTGCCCCCACACTTATCTGTAGCAACCAGAGGCCAAGACAAAACCATTATTCAAGCTGCTAGCCTTAACTCCCAATTCTTCAGGAGGTGCTGGGGCAGCTCCTTGGTTAGCTTAGATGTCACCTTGCCCCAGACAAAGGTGCTGAACATGTCTGACAGTACCGGCTGATTGTCCCCTCCGAACAATGATCTGTCAAGTAAGGGTAATTATAGAGCAAGAGGGTCCCTGGCGAAGCTACAGATCATACAAAGTCAAGGCCACTGAAGAAAAAGGCGCAGAGTTTTGGTTCCATCCACCACTTTCCACTTCTACTGTCCTCACTCTCATTCGCCTCAGAGACCTAGGCTGGGAGTCACCCTGCAACCTCCCTTCCCCCTGCGATGTGGAAAAGCTTAAAGAACAGAGCCACCAGCTCAGGGAAACAGCTCATCTAAGCCTTCCACTTACTTCTCATAGCGCTGATAAGCGCGTTGCCATCTTTGATCACGTCTTTGATGAATTTATTGGTCCTCTCCAGCTCCTGCTCGTAACACTTGAGCCTCTCGCGGAAGTCGGGACTGTCCAGGTAGCAGTCGCTGAACTCCAGCGGGGGATGCCCCATGGTTCTGATGGCGCAGGGGAAAGAGAGGAAAGACACAAAGACCGAGAGCATCAGTGGCACGCTAGAAGTAAACCGGATGGACTGAGCGTAGGACCCGCTTAGCTTCCCTCCCTTTGGAGGTCAGGTACCTGTTCCAATGAGACTCCTGGGGAGCGCTGGCAGGTCTGTACCGAGAACAGGCGACCGGGCGGTTGCTTCAGGGCACAGGGCGAGCTAAGTATTGCAGCCGGATCCCGGCGGGGTGCTGCCTAGCAAGCAGCATGCCCCCTAAGCATCGCCCCCCACCCCGCCCCCATACGCAGCAGATGCTGCAGCCCGGCTCGCCTCCAGAGACGAGCCGGATCCTTCCAGAGCACTTGCAAACGTGACACTTCGGCCCGCCCAGGGTGTGGGAGCGAGTGGGCGCCAGGGCAGGGAGCAGCCTCTTCTTGCTCCCGAGCTGGCTGAAGCTTTCCCTTGCCGAACTCCGCGGGCAACCCGGATTGCACTGTCCCCTCCCCCTTCTTAAAGCCAGCGCCTGCGCCCCGCCCCAGCGAAGCCGGAGCACCAAGCCCGAGCACTCAGGCTCCTTCCCAACTGTTTTCCTTGTACCCTGGGGTTGCTTTACCAGGGCCCGCTGGCTGCTGCGAGCTCTTCCTGGTCCCTGGGAGCCGGCCCGTGTCCTGTTAGGCGCCGGAGGGGTTAAGCCGAGGCGGCGATGAAGCGTAGCCTTCCTCCATAGACACCGGAGCGGGAAGAGGAGGGCGATAGCGCGACGCACAATAGCTGCGGTAGCCCGGCGCTTCCCTGCGGAAACCGGGGAGCAGTCAGCGCCCTAGGACTCCATCTGAAAAGCGTGGCGGCCTGGGAGATGTAGTCTTTCCGTTTTCACGCCCCATGACTCCTCCCTGCCGTCTCCCCACCACCCCGCCAGGGCGGCTGCTCTCCCAGAACGACATTCCCAGCCTGCCCCAGGCTCGCCGGCGGGGCCCAGACCCGAGGGACAGGTGCGCGACGCTGGAGTCTGTGGGGAAAGTTTCTGAAACTGGAGGAAGAACCCAGGAGAAATAGATTGTGGGAGGCTGTTTCTCACTTCCTATTATTCGGCTGGATTGTGGATTTTTTTTCCTTCCCTTCTTTCCAGCCTTCCTCGAATCTACCAACTTTTCTTCCTCTTCCCTTTTCCATTTCTCCTGCTCTAAGCGCTCTAATCCCCGTGGGCCTTCGAACTAAAGGGTTGACTCTAGAGTCCGTGTTAAGCTCAGAACTCCCTACCAAAGAAAGGGAGGCTGTAATGCGGACTGAACTTTTTCCTGAGTAGGACCTCGGAGCTGCTTTTTGTGACCCAAATCATTGCATAGGCTGATGATTAAAGCATATGATTTTCCATATGTAAGTGGAAAATGTAAGAAGAGGATGTTATAAATTGTCTTGCAGCTTAGCAAAGAGGCCTCTTGTCCATTGTCCATCGTAGGAGAACTGGGGCTGCTCCTGAAAGTGGCTGCATTGAGATTAAGAGTAGCTAGAGCCTCGACAAACTGAAAAATAGTGTGTACGTGGGCAAAAAGATACATTTTGATTTTGCAGAGGTGTTTAGATTAGATTACCCTGTGAAGAAAGCCAAGAAAAGCCAGAATTGAAGTGGGTTGTGGTTGTAAATCGAGTAATAATGACTGACCCACCTGTATTAGTGTCCTCTTGCTTCTCTAACAAATTCCTGCAAACTTGGTGGCTTAAGTCAACACAAACTTATTATCTTACAGATCTGGAAGTCAGAAATCAGAAATGGGCCTCACTGGACTAAAATCAAGATGTCAGAAGGACACTGGGCACTCTAAGGGATAATCCATTTCCTTACCTCTCCCAGCTTCTAGAAGCTGCCCACATCCTTTGGCTCATAGCTCCTTTCCTTCATCTTCAAAGCTAGCAATGGCCAGTGAAGTCTTTCTCACGCCGCACCACTCTGACTCTGATTCTCCTGCCTCCCCCTTTCACTTACAAGGACCCTTATGATTATAATACATTGGGTCCATGGGATAATCCACGATATCTCCCCATCTCCTGATCCTTAGCTTAATCGCATCTGCAAGATTGCTTTTGCCATCTAAGGTAACATATTCGCAGGTTCCAGGGATCAGGACACGAGCATCCTTGAGGGGGGAAGAATTCTTCTACCTACCACACAACCTATAACCTATAACCTAAACCCACTCTACTAATCCTCAAAACAACCCAATGAGGTTGCTATTATTATTTTATCCGTTTAAAAATGAGGAAGCTGGGTCAAAGAGAGGTTAAGTGAGTTGCTCAAGGACACACTAGTGGCAGCACTTGAACTTGAGCCTAGCCTGGCTGGTTCTGCAGGGAGCATCTCTAGTGCTCTTAACCACTACACTATATCACAGAATGGCAGAGTCCAATGAAGAAACTCCCTCTGAAAACTAATAAGCAGCCACATCCCAGGGAAGGATTTTGTTTCCTACTCTTTTTATCTTTAAGGTTATTTATGGGAAAATGCTCAAAATGGGCTTTAAATGCCCCGTGGGTTGAGAAATGCAGGTACTAAGGGAAGGTACCCAATGAACAGATATATATAGTCTCCCACTCTAGCAAATTTCCTTTTAGCATTCATTCAGTCATTCGATTAGCATCTTTTTTTTTTTGAGACAGAGGCTCGCTTTGTTGCCTGGGCTAGAGTGAGTGCCGTGGCGTCAGCCTAGCTCACAGCAACCTCAAACTCCTGACCTCAAGCGATCCTCCCACGTCGGCCTCCCAGAGTGCTAGGATTACAGGCGTGAGCCACCACGGCGGCCAGCAACAAGCATTTTTTGAACACTTTCTATATGCTTTGACTTACAGAGCCTATACACATATTTCATCACTATAAAAATGACCATTGACATTATCGATGTTAGATGCAGTCATGCTCTTAAGGCATTTTATAGTCATCTGCATTATCCTTTATCCAGGCAATGAAACTAAAGCACAGGAAAAACAAATGCCCTGGACCAAATACCTAAGAAGAAAGAGGGTTAAAATTAGAACTCAGTGCCTCAAATAATAGTGGCATTCATTAAGCACTACCTTAGATGCTTTGCACAGTTTCTCCCTAACTCTCACAACAACCCTATATGACAGGGGGTATTCAAATTTTTGTTCACATAACCCCTAAAAGAATTTTGAGAGGCTATGTATTGCCTCACACATTTTTAGGCTGACATCTAAATTTTTCATCATGCTTAAAGAGTTGCAAAAGGTTTAATTTCTAGCATACTCAAAATATTGACCATAACATATTTTTATACTTGAAAATCTTCTATTGATCACCATATTGAATTTCTCTGCAACAAAAATATGTCCATAAATAGAAATTGAATTCTTTTTTGTTTCCTTGTGACCATAAGTCTCCAAGGATAAAAATTCTTCTGGAATGAGTTATAATTGTGATTATTATGCATACACAATAAATAAAAATGATATGAAGTCATTATACATTATGATTATTATTATTAAACATGAAGTTTTATTGGGAATGCATCTCTTAGTGAGATGGATGGGGAAGAGGCAGGTTATAGGGCCTTGAGTTAAAAAAGATTCCTGGCCTCCAATATTTGAAATCATTGCTTTGTTTAGCCCCAAGGTTTGTTGCTGTTGTTTTGGGGGTTTTTTGAGACACGGTCTTGTTCTGTAGCCCAGGCTAGAGTGCAATTATCATCGTAATAGCTCACAGCAACCTCAAACTCCTGGGCTCAAGGAATCCTCCTGCCTCAGCCTCCCGAGTAGCTGGAACTACAGATGCGCGCCTCACGCCTGGCTAGTTTTTCTAGTTTTATAGAGACAGGTCCCTCTGTTGCTCTGGCTGGTCCTGAACTCCTGGCCTCAAGCAATTCTCCCACCTCTGTCCTCCCAAAGTACTAGGATTTCAGGAATGAGCAATTACGACTGCCTGAGCCCCAAGGGTTTTTACATCCTGGGCCAAAGCACCATAGTAAGATTCTTGACCTTTAAGAGGTATGCTTTCCTTTTGAGAGATTGAGAAAGGCAGGTGGGAAAGTGTTCTCTGGTGAGCAGGTCTATGCAAATCTACTCTTAAAAGTCCAGAAAGTTGAAAGGCCTAAGAAAGAGTCTGACAAATACAGTTTCTCAGAAACAAACATCTAATAGGGACTTATGAACAGAAGCCATGTCCCTGCGGGTGGCAGCGGGATGAGATGGTGAATCCCCAAACTGTTACCCCCTAGACCAGGGCTTATACACCACAGGGAAGGAATGAGGAATGTGTACGACACTCCTCAGGGAAAGGCAAGAATTTGCCTAAGGGTAGAATTTATAGTAAGTCGAGGTTGTTTTGACCTATGGGCAGGATTTATGGTAAGTACGTGAAAGTAGAAATCTTAGAGGCATTCCCAGAACATTTATCCTCCACAGAAAGGAAACCTGGAGGTGAGTTCTCAGGCAAATTCATTTTTAGAAAATAGTATTAAAGGAAGTTGAGTATTTGGAAATTGGTTCCCTTTTGGCTACCTGGTAACTGCATAGCCCTTAGGTTTCCATGTACCTTGCTATGGACTGAATATTTTTATCCCTTCCAAAATTCATATGTTGAAATCCTAACCCCCAAGGTGACGGTATTAGGAAGTAGGGCCTTTGAGACTTGGTTAGGTCATGAGGGCAGAGCCTTCATGAATGTGATCAATGCCCTTATGAAAGAGGCTTGAGAGAGCTCACTTGTCCCTTCTACCATGTGAGGACACAGAGAAAAAAACAGCGATCTAAGAACCAGGAAGCTAGCCCTCACCAGATACTGAATCTGCCAGTGCCTTGATCTTGGACTTCCTAGTCATCGAAACTATAAGAAATAAATTTCTGTTGTTTATAAGCCTCCTAGTCTATGATATTTTTATTATAGCAATCCAAATGAACTAAAACATACCTCCAGGGCTTAGGTATACACCAGTGTAAAGACAGCTGCTATAGTATCATTATCCTCACTTTATATGTAAGGAACAATAGGCTCAATG